GTGCAGATCCTGCTTTGGGAGGCTAGAGGTGGAGCCCAAGGTTCTGCATGTCTAACAAGCTCCCAGGTGATGCCCGGGCTGCTGGTCCGGGCCTGACACTTTAAGAAGCCAGAGCCTCAGCAGGGGTTCTTAAACATCAGCACACAGCCGAATCACCAGGAGGGGAGGGCTTGTTCAACAACCCCCCACCGCCCAGTTTCTGACTGAGGAGGTCTGGGAAGGGGCCTGAGAACGTGCATTTCTAACAAGTTCTCAGGTGATACGGCTCATCCTGGAATCCCACTTTAAGAAATACTGGCCTTGACAGTAAGAGGTAAAACAGTATGAGGACAGAATAAAGTAGATGCAGCTCAAAGCATCCCTACATAACACAGACACTATGCTTTTTCAAATATTTATTAAATTCTTAATAAGAGGGTGTTTTCCTGTGATATCCTGCTTTCTTTGGAACAGTGGATACGCTGGGGAGAAACCCGCAGAAATTGAGGGCTACAGAAAGTTAAATTCTAGCTTAATCGAAATATTCTCCTGCTAAGCAAAATGATTTTCTCTTCACCCCCACATGCTCCAGGAATCTGCTGAGTCGCCATGCAGCGTCAAGTACTTGCGAACAAGCAGGTCTTCATGCTGCTCCTGCCCCCACCTTCAAGTCATGTGACAGCTGCTGGGGAGAAAGAGCTGACTTCCTAGTTTTGATGAGAGGGACCCATCATGTCCCCACTGTCATTGCTCATAAAGAAAATGCCTCTGGCTCCTCTGACACCATCTCTGGGCTCTCCTGTGACTGCCACCTCACAGTGACACATGGACATCACCCTTGGCCTGGGAGTCCTCCCTGGCACCTGTCTTATCTAGTAACTCAGAATCTCTTGCACTCACACTTCTCTTCCTGGCTGTAAGGACCTGCACCTCACTCATCTTTGTAGTCCCTAATTCTCCCCAAGGACCCAGGAAGTCCTTCCCCAAGCAGTCTTGTTTATCAATACTTGGAAGCTTCTGGCTTGGAAAATATAGGGACCATCCCATATCCAGAAACTTGTAATTCACTGTTGTCTGAATTGCAAATCCTTTTCTCCTTCTTGGTAGTGCCTAGAAAAAGTGACCATGTCCTGGCAGGCTTGTCCCCAAGGACCCAGGAAGCCTCCCATTGGGATGGGGACACCTGTAGCTGTGTGTGCACCAGGGGACAAGCTGGGGAGGGAAGCGGTCCCCTGATCTGCACTACTTTGTGTTCACCTGAACCTGGCCCAGACCTTAGGCTCGTGGGACTTGGCCAGGACTTCCTGACTGAGGGCGCAGGCTGTGGAGGGCTGGTGAGGATGGATGGGGTAGGGACTGGCTCTCTACCTGGCTCCACACTCAGGTGAGTAGAGAGCTCACTCCCTCAGTCGAGGCCTCACTGCCCATCCTCACTCCACTCCCACCAACCAGCCACCAGGAAAATGCAGAGTGGTGGTGACACAATGGACAGAGACATGGGTGGAGATGAGAGGACGGAAGATTGTGGTGTAGCCGGGACACAGGATGCCAGGCTGGCAGAGAACACCCCCCCAAATCTCTGCAGGACAACTCATAGGAGTAGCTTTCAATGCTTTTTTCATTATGACCCAGAGTAATAAATACATTTTTACACCATGACCCAGTGCATATGTCATGTGTGTGTGTGTGTACATGCACACTGTAAAACAAAGCAGCATTTACCATGCTCCAAGGAATGCATGCCATCACATGCTGGTCTCAGTCTACTGATCTGACTTCCTAACTCATCAGCAGGTCATAGCCAGCAACTTGAAACAATCTGCTCTTTCGTGCCTCAGTCACTTTAGGGGGCCTCCCAGGCTTCGGAATTCCTGCTCTCAACCAGCTAAGCACCTACTGGATGCCAGACACCAGGCTCAATGCTGGGTGCAGCAGGGAGCAGGGCGGCTCCAGAGCTCAGGGGACATGGAGACCATACCATACCCACAGACCACAGGATATTTGTACAAGGTGGCCAGCAAAGAGGCCACCACATGTTACCCAGATATATGACCTGAGGACATGCAGCTTCTTCTGAGCAGCACAACTACGGGCAGCTGGTATCAAGAAGCAGACAGAAGTGTCCCTGCCTCTCTCGTGCACAATGCCTATTCCAGTCCTGTCGCTTCTCCCCTCTATGGACTGGAGCCCTGACTCCCCTCGTCAGGACCCAGAGAGTGAAGGACAATAGGTAGCAGCACTACTCAGAAACCAGAAGGTGATGGAGTTGGCCTTGGCACCTTCCAGAATGCTGCAGGCCTCCAGGTCTTCCTGGGGCCAGTCTGGGGGCCCCTACTGGGGAGGCCCCTTCAGAGCAAGCCTCCTTGGGCTGAAGGTGGGGCTGTTTTCAGAGCTGCCTGCTCTCTAATTACTTGAGGCTTCAAGGCAATTCATGTATCTCAAATTTATTTCTCAAAAAACACTACAAATTTCCCAATATCCCCTGAGGGCTCTGAAAGGGAAAAATAAGCGACTCTTCAGGCACCCTAAGCTCGTACTACAATTATCATCATGAGATCCTGCAGATCAGCTACAACCGGTGAGTAGTGCAAAATTATTTCCATAATGAAGGGCTGCGCAGCCTCCGTCCTCTTCTCGCTGATTACAACCCTTCTCCCTCCACCTGAGCTAGGAAGGCCTGAACCTCCCATTGGTTTGGGAGTTAGGAAGCAATTCAGAAAACCAGGAATGGATCAAGGAAAGGTAGAAAACAGAAGTGGGGAGACTCTATCAAGAGAACAACAGCTGCCTCCGTGACCCATCTGGAGGGATGGGAGAACCCCAAGGCCTCCCGCAGTGACAGCCCCTGGGATTCACTGAGCACCTCTGGGAGCTGCTGGGCACTTAGGGAAACCAGAATTGTCTGCTGAGCAGGGGTGGTCCCCTACATCTCCACATCCCGCAGGCCTGGCCCAGACTGGGCAGCACAGGGCTCGCTCACAGCTTGAACTGACTGGGAACTGCAGCCCAGTGACTGATGTCACTTTTATCTGGCCAGGTGTGCAACAAACATTTGACCTTGAAGGGAGGGGAATCTCTTAGAGCCTCAGTTACTGTATCTATCAAATGGGGACGTTCACTCTGTTGCCTTAGGACTGTGCATGAGCATTCTTGGTAAATTGTAACATGCTTCCAAGTATAGTTATTACTGTCACTCTGCTGAAAGACAGAATGAGTCACAACAGTGATCTTTGCTCTGGGAGCTGTTGCTGCTGAGGGATACTGTTGGCCTTGTGGCAAAGGAGGGATTAGGGCATGTGCCACCATGCACTGCCACTTTGGGGAAAGTCACTCCTGTACTACACTCAGTCAGCATAGATGCCCACTCACCCCACAACCCTGCCTGGGGGAAAGCCACCTCCTGGGTGGGCTGGGAGAACCTCTGTTTGAAAGCAGAGAAGAAGCTAAGGCTCAGAGAGGTGATGTGAGTCTTCCCAGGAAGCCGTGAGGAAGTGCGGAAGCCGATGGCCAAAGCCTGTCCTGACCTGCCTGCACCTCCATACCCAGCTCTGGTCTTGGCATCAGCCTGCAGGAACCTTGCCGGGTTACTGCCCATTTGGATAAGCAGCAAAGCAGTGGAGGCACAGGAACACCCTCAAAGACTATGAGGCAGGGGAGGAAAGGTCCACAAGCAGGGCCTGCCACGAAGGAAGGGCTCAGAGCAAGACACTGGGTGGTCAGGGCAGCACAGTGAAAAGGTACCTTGGGCATGTTCCTTCCACCTAAAGGCAGCACCAGGGCCCAGGTGACCAGGGGGGCCAATCCAGGGGTAAGCCACTCAGGGACCCTGGTCTTGGAGTCCATCCCCACGGCCTTCCCAGATGCCAGGCGAGGGATCCCAGGCATAGAGCTGAGTTTTAGAATCACATACTCTTGTCCTGGCACTACTGCAGGTTCACTGTGCCACCTGATGTACTCTCCTAACCTCTCTGAGCCTCCATTTACCCATCTGTAAAAGAAGGGACCTAGAACCACAGTGGTTAGCGGGCCCCACCTTCCACTCAGCCAGGGCCAGCGTCCTGCCAACAGCATCCCTCACAGAACCATCACTCACCACCACATGAGGCAGGCTGCTCTCCATCAAGCAGCTCAAAAACCACTAGAGAGCTCTTACTTTTAATCAAATGGCATAATAGCTATGAAAGGACTTCCAAAAATAAAAGCACAACCAAAGGGGGTTATTACTGACACCACCAATTTTAGAGTCAATGTCATAGGTGGAGAAACTGGGGCTGGAGATTGGCTTCCAGAGCACACCAAGGCAGCTGGAAAGAGCCGAAGAGGAGGGGTGCAGAGGGAGCCTGGTGAGTGCTGGGTCCTGGAGTGTGGGGGGTGGTTAGACAAAAGCTGGAGAGGATGCTCAGGTCCTGATGAGACCAAGAGGTATGTAACGGCTAGAAGGGAAGCACTCACTGGGGTCTGTTGTTTGCAGAGGGCACATCTCAGACCAGGATCCAAGACTCTCCTGTTGCCTAGGGCACATGTATTTGTACTAGAAGGCACAGAGATGTTTTGACACATGCTTTGCCTCATGGCCCTGCTTAATAATGGTGAAGTGCTTTCTGTGAAGGCCAGGAAGGAGGGCAGGGATCAGGGAGTAAACATGTACAGAGTCTAAGCTGAAGGGTCTTAGAGACAGCCTAGGCTGGCAGATGGAGACAGGAGACAGACAGCTGTGGTCCAAGGTGGCCCAGCTAGTCAGGACTTGCTGTGGGGAAAGCTGATGCCTTCTCCCTGCCAGGTGAGAGCTAATGTCCAACTCAGCCCCCAGCAGTGGCAGGGCCTTGAGCGGTTACCTTCCCAGGTGCAGTGCCTATGTTTAGCTGTCTCGTTCCAGGAAGCCCAAGCCTGCCCTTATGTCTGTCCAAGTCTGACTCCAGGGCCCCATGCCTGGGTTCTATAAGCCCCCTCAGGAAAGACAGCTCAGATGTAGAAACGCAGAGAGAGGGACGGGCAGGGGATGGTGGGCTGGCTCCACTCACCCACGATCTCGTTCTCTTCCAGGTTGATGGTCTCCAGCGCTGGCAGGGTGGTGAGCTGCTCAGGGAAGTCGTGGAACTGGTTCCGGGACAGGTCGATGGCCTTGAGGTGCTGCAGGGCGCTGACCTCACTGGGGAGGCGGTGCAGAAAGTTCCCTTCCAGGTGGAGTTCTGCGTGTAGGCGAGGAAGAGAAAGGACAGGAGAGAGGGAGCAACCTAGAGACCACAGGGACTGCTGGCTGCCCCTGGAGGAGACAGCAGGAAACCCCAGGCTGCCAGGAGGGTCCCCACAGGGGCTGATTCCAGTGTATGCGAGAAAAGGCATAGCTCCTGCCACTGCCTGGGGCCTGCCACCCATCATCCAGCTGGGCTCCCTGCTTTGGTCTTGGAATGAAGGCTCCCCTAACAGAAGCCTGGGCCCAAAGGTCAGGATGCGCTGGCAACTCCCTCAGACAAGGCCTCACTCCAAGCCTTGACAGAACAGGTCAGCTTGGGCAGCCCATCTGAGGCACACCACACTTCAGCACCCTCCCTGCTCAAGCAGCCACCAGGGGTGGCTAAGCTTTCTGTGTGACATGACGCTGCTCCCTTGCCCAGCCTCAGGTGGCCAGATGAGTGTGGTTTCCTGCCCTCAGAGCATCTGATCTGAAAGCTGACCAGCAGCTGGGGGGATCCCTCTGTTGGGAATCTGGCCAGGGCAGTGCCAGGCATGGTGGAGGCTGCAGCTAAAATGCTGTGTTCCACAGAGAGAAGCTGGGAGGGAGCCTTTGGGGGCCCTGGGCAAGGACAGGGATGAGGGGCAGAAACCAAGAGTCAATGGGGAGTGGGGAGGCAGCATAATGTAGGACTTAAGAGTGGGGATCTGGGGCCCCCACTGCCTGGCTCAAACCCAAGTGGGCCTCCTACAAGTTTCACTCAGTTACTTAGGTCCTGTAGGTCTTAGTTTCCTCACCTGTAGAAAGAGTCTAATAATAACACCTGCCTCAGATGGTTGTTGGAGGGTTAAATCCATTCAATGGAAAAAGCACCTGGCTTGGGGCCCAGACGCAAGTTAAATGCTCTGATATATGCATTTAAGATTGGCACTGCACAGTAAAATGATGGGTGGTAAAAGTCATGCTAATAATTTATTTAAGTTTTCCTTACTTAGAAGGACATTAAATGGCAAATGAAAAGCACCATGGCACACAGAGAGAGACCACAGAAGAAAGGAAAAAGCTTATTATGGTCCTTTAGTGGCATTTTGCTCCTACTTTCTGAATGAGAATCTTGCATTTCCGTTTTTGCACTGGGCCCCATCAATTACATAGCAGGCCCTGCTCCTCCCTCTGCACTCCATGGTACCCGCTCTTCATCCCCCATGATGCCACCCTGAATTGGGGGAGATGAGCTGCTCTCAGGTCCCAAGAGCCCCTGCTAGGGTTGTGCAGTGAGGGCAGAGCCCCACTTGGAGAGCCCTCTGCACCCACACACACCTGAGCACTAGCCATACTGCAGGTCCCCTGCTCTTGCATACTGCGGCTCTGGCGGGTGGGAACAGTAGCTGATTCCTGTTTTCTCCTTCCATACAGCTCCCTCTGAGGGGCACCTTATAGTCGCTCTGTAAATATTTGATGAATATGACTCTTCTCTCCTTAGGAGGCAGATATGTGATGCAGGGGTCCTGGCCTGCCTCTTATTTTCCCACTTTCAGGGAAATACTGAACTCAAGGCTCCATCAGCAGAACCACAACTCGCCCCACACAAACCCAAGACCCCTCCAGTAGTCAGGTTCTTTGGTAGCCACGCCTGAAGCCAGAAAATGTCCCTACCCACATTGGTTAGAATGTCACAGTGTTGGGAGGGACACTGGAGAACATCTAGCCCCCAAGCATGCCTTTGCCAGACAGTGTTTCATCAAATACTCTGAGCACGTTGCTGCCTCAGGGTCTTTGCATTTGCAGTTCCCTTTTTCTACAATGTTCTTTACCAAAATATTTGCAAGGCTTGTACATCACTTCATTTGTATCTTTGCTCAAATGTTACCCTCTCCAAAATAGGATCCTCTCCATCAGTTTCTGTCCCCTTTCCCTGTGATATTTACCTTCTTGGCATCATTGTTACCTAACACAACTTGTTTGTACATTGTCTGCCTCCCCCCAGGATGGAAGGGATAAAGATGGAAGCTGCATGAGGTGGGGCTTTGCCTCTGTTTTAGAAAAGTGCCCACAACTGCCTGGTACACAGTGAGTACCCAATAAACATTTGATGAGTACACAAATGAATAAATGAATGAATTTGAGTGTGACCCTTACAATTTTGCCAAATTCTATTTTACATATATCATTGTTTTTCCTTAAATTGATTTGTTCTTTTTCACTTAGATAAAAATGGAAAAAATTGTTACTGCTTTCCCTAAAATTATTCAACTCTTACTGTACGCTATTGCCAGGTGAAGAATCTGGGCCCCAGGCAGATCTACGCCAGTGGAGATGGGTGTGGAGAGCATATTCCAGATGCCCTCCAGCGGGTGGCTGCTTTGAGAGGTCTCTCAGAAGCCACTTCCCTAGAATGGACATTTGCTCTCAGACGAGAACATGGCCCAGTCCCCCTGGCTGCTCGCTCCTGTGCGGAGTGTTTCTCCAAGCCCTCGTCTTCTGGAATGAGCCTGCCTTGCTCTGTTGGTCTGGCTGCTGTGACACTTCCAAATCCCCGGTTCACAGCCAACCTGCCAGTGAGCCTCTCATGAGCCACCCGGGGAGCCAACCTGGCCTTTAGAGGGCAGCATCTGGGGATCACAGGGCATTTTCGAGGGCACAGCTCCATTTGCTGAGCTCGGCGGCAGGCGCCACTCAGTGCTATGCGATGTCCTCAGCTGTCTCGGCTGTCACCAGGTTGGTTTCCGTTTCCCTCTGGGTCCTCCCTTCCTGGAACTTGCTGCGTCCTCCTGGCAGATCCCGTCTGCGGGGTTACGCAGTGGACGGCCCCACGCAGACGGAGAGGCCCCTCAGCCTCCTCCCATGGCTTGCAGTAAGAGGCTGTATGGGGCGGGCATGACAAACGCAGGCTCGAGCCTGGTGTCCTCAGGCTCAGATTCAGACTGACACTTCCTGACTGTGTGACCTTAAGCAAATTGTTTATCTTTAACTCTGTTCCCTCATCTGTAAGATGAGAACAGTACTAGACCTTCCTATAGGATTGCTGTGAATTTAAGTTAATTAATACATGAAAAAGGCTTTAAGCAGGTAGGCACAAAATAAATACTATGCAATCTACATATGTGAGCTACACAGAAGGATGGATGGACAACAGACAGGCAGATAGATACCGTAAAACAAGCATGGCACCTAGTGAATCCAGTAATCCAATTAGTACTGACTTACCTACTAGACTTGTATTTCTAACCACCCCAAACTTGGGCATAGAAGAGAAGAAAATGCTCTTTGCCTGAAACTATAGTAAACACAAAACTATCCCTTGCTGCTTCAGATGCCTCCGCAGGGTCCTGAGGCCTTTGTGGAGCAGGTGTGAGGAGGGCCGAGCAGCGGGGACCTCATAAACAGGGCCTCAGCATCACACAGAGTGCATGAGTCTGCAGGTGGTCCCACAGCCTGCTGGCCTACACCCTTTACACTACAGGGCCAGACCCCACAGCTCGGGGGGCAACAAGGGTAACTGCTGATGAGCTGGGAAAGAGCATTTACTTACACGTTCAGAATCGTTACTTAAAAGAAAAAAAAGACAGCCTTTTATCAAATCTTTTTGGGCCTGAGTCTAATTACAGCCCCAAAGCAGATCAGAACCCTAGAGGGGGCTTCTTGGGGCCTCTTAGGAGCTTGCCTCCATGTGCAGCCTGCATAGGGGCAGGGAAGCCAGGACTGCAATGACCCAGAAGGACCCAATGCTGGCCACAAAGTATGTGACAAAGGGGCTGGTGACAAAGGAGACAGAAGGGACAGGTATGAATGTATGAATGTTTACTGAGTGACATTATATGCCAGGCAATGTATTCATTAGTTATTTGTGAAATCTCATATAATCCTCCCCCAAAATTCCCACCCAAATTTATGGATGAGTGAAGTGAGGCTCACAGAGGTCACGTAACCTGCCCAGGGTGACACACACATAGCAGATCCACGCCTGGTGTCATATGTGTTTCCATGTTCCTTGAAATCCACAGATAAAGGAAAGGGGAAGTGGAAAGAGAGCCCCATCTCCTCGGGGAAGTAGGGTGGGAGAGGGAGCCATCCAGCTGCCAAGATCGGAGCAGGGCTGCATGGAAAGATGGCAGAACAGAGCCTGTCTGAGAGGCTGAACACACCTCCACATGAAGCCCAGTTTGTATGTCCACAGGACAGAAGACGAGCTGAGCCACCTGCTGGAGAGATGTGCCCAAAATCAGCTGGGAGCTTCTCCATGGCTGGGGAGCTGGAAAGCTTTTCATGTGACTGATGTTTTAATAAATGCTTAGCGTGACCTGCTGGGACTCTTTCCCTGCTGTTCAATAGCTTTTCTCTATGTCTCCATCTTGCTTCAGCCATGACTCAAAGGCTCTGCAAATCTCCTTCCCTCATGTGCTGCTAGAATGAACACTGCCCTAAGGCTTTTGCATGATCACACCCACTCCTCTTGCAGCTGGGAGAGAAGTAAGAGGGCAGAGACCCTCTCCCCAGAATGCTCGCTCAATACATGTTCCTTAAATGGGGCCTAGAACCAGTGAAAAGTGGTTACAGAGTCAGTGGATGCAAAGACCCACCACTAGTCAAATCCCTGCTTAGTCTCTGAGTCAGTCATCCTAGGCAAGCCACCATGTGTCCATGGGCTGGGCTTTCCAGACTGTAAAACAAGGAATGTCCCTTCTCTTTCCTACACCTTATGAAAGGAAGGAATTAAATGCTTATTGAGCACCTTCTATATGCCAAGTGCTATATACACATCATCTCCTTTAATTTTCGCAGCACCTCAGAGGTAAATTTTATCATCTCTTTTTTTTAGAGATGAAAAAACTTGGGGTACAGAGAAATCAGATGGTTAGCCCAACATAACACAGGAAGTAAGAGGGGCAGCTGAAATCTGAAACTGGCTCCAAAAGCACTATGGGCTGCCTCCAAAAGGGAAGACAAAGCACTTTTTAAGCAGAGTTGAATAGAGACAATGATGGCCCTGTGAGTGGAGAGGCTCAGAGCCTGATA